ATTAGTTTCGTATCCTGTTCTTTTTCATCTCTTACTATCAGTGAAGGCTTTTTATTATGTATTTTGACTTTCAATTATAAAATGCAAAACTTTATCACAGAGGCTGGGAAACTAGGATCTATAGGCTAAATTTGGCCTACTTCCTGTCTTTGTAAATAAAGTTTTATTGACAGCAGCATGCCTGTGTGCATATGTGTCACCAGGTATTGTGTTCAGGCCGTGATGGTGGGTTACAAAACAGTGTAAAACATTTGCCGTCACCCCTTAATACAGCCACCTGTCTTGGTTTTGCTTCAATTGTTGTGACCAGACACTTGACAGAAGTAACTTAATGGAGAAAGGCTTTATTTTGGATCACGATTCAAGGTACAGTCCATTATGTTGGGGAAGCCGAGTGAACAGGAGCAGGAGGCAGCTGGTCTGAGAAAGCAGAGAGGATGACTGCTGCCGATGCCCAGCTATTTTCTCCACACATATAGCTTAGGGAATGGTGCCTCCAACTGTGGACTAGTCTTCCCGATCAATTAATGTAGTCACGACAAACCCTCACAGGCATGCTCAGAGACTTATCATGATTCTCGATCCTGTTTGGTGGACAATACCAACCCCTACCCTAACCGTGTTGTGTAGTGACTGATACAGGGGTTCATTTGTGATCCCAGAGAGCCCAGGGAGCTGTCCAGCAGTTGGAATGAGTGACTTCCTGCCCTGTTTCCTTGACTGTATTCCCACAACTGTTGCCAAGCCCAGGGCTGTGGAAACTGTTGCTGTCTCCTAGGCCCCGTGTGGCCCTGATATGCAGGCCTACATGTAACTATGCTCCATTCTGACAGGTTTCTTCTGCCTATGCCCTGTCAGACAGCCTGATGTGTGCCTGTGACCTGAAGGCCCTTTGTGTGTCCCTATGAGCTGCTATACCTCAGATGCTGCCAGCAGCCTTCCTGCCCTTTCTCCTCTACAGCTCCTCCCCTGTAGCCCTGCAGACTGCTACTGCACCTGTGACCTCCGTAGCCCTCCCAGCTCAGAGATGGGAACAGCTGCATGACTACTTTTCCACCATGTTGTGACTTATAGCTCCATTCAGACTCCACCCCCAGCAACAACAAAGCCACAGCAACAAAGCCACTAGGCCACTAGAGCAGCAAGTGAAGCAGACGACTGCCCCCCATCCTTCAGCCTTGACTACTAGCAACAAGAATACAAGCATCAGTCGTAGGCATCCTGTGTCTGTGCTTCACGTCAGTCTTCCAAACTGCTCAGGACTGTCCCCGAGAACCTTAAAGCTTCAACACAGAGGGGCTCAGGGCCCAGGCCCTAAGCAGCAGGGTGACCACCCCTGAGGGTCAACTCGCTTCAGTATCCTGTATCCCAGTGGCTCTTATTTTCCCTAGTTTGTTCCTGCTGCTGCTTTGGTGAGTCAGTGTGTGTGTGTGTGTGTGTGTGTGTGTGTGTGTGTGTGTGTGTGTGTCTGTGTGTCTGTGTGTCTGTGTTGGTATCTTGGGTCCCTGAAGGTAATTATTGGTCTCTACTTAGCAACAAGCTGGAGTCCTGACTCCCCTTCAGTCCAAGAATTTAACTTGAATGTCCACCACTCTAACCTCTCCTCCTCTTTGTAAAGATAATGAAGAAAGCTTTCACTCAGGGCAGAGTAGTAGCTGCTCATACAATCTACGCCTGTGTTCTCACAGGGCAGGGAGACTTCACAGAGGGGCAGTTATCATGGGGTTTGCGGAGGCCCAGTGTCACTGCAGGGATAGCGTCTGAAGAAGGCAGGAGGGTGGCCGGAGAAGGTGACAGGACACTGAGGGATTGGCTCTGAACAACAGCAGGGATAGGTGGGAATTGAAGCTGAAGACACCTCTGAACCATTCTCCCCTGAACCCTCCAGGTGAGACCTTTCCCATGCCTGGGCTTAACTAGGAAGAACCTATCCAGGTGGGCAGCCTCCTCAGCTGTGCTGTTGGAAGTCTGCAATGTTGGAAGCCACCAAGTCCTTGGTCCTTCTGTAGCCTGGAACATACTCATCTACCTTGACCTGGTGTTTCTGGTTTCTGGCTACAGCTAGCTAATCCTGGGGTAGGTGGGAGACTAGAAGACCAGGGGTGAGACAGGAGCTGGGCTGGCTGTGGTGTCACTTAGAGCAACAGAAAGCCACTGTCTCATGTTCAGGAGGCTAACGTTCAAGGTCAAGTGTCTGAGACTTGTGTCTTCCTGAGGCTGCACAGGGGGTAAGGTGAGGAGACAGCTGCCATACCCTTGCTCTGATGTCTGATGGTGTCAAGGAGCAGGTTGTTGGCTCACTGGAAACCAGGAAGGTCGGGAAACAGGAGTTGTATGGACAGAGCTGACCAGTGCAACTCATCTGTGGCAGACAGTCACTCAGGAGCTTCTGTGACGGACTCTGTGTATTGCAAGCATGTGACTGGCGTAGGGGGACATCCTCCCTGGGGCCCTGCTCACCCAACATCCCATGGAAAGCCCCTGGCATGTGTTGTCATCCCCTTGGGGGAACCTCCAGTCCAGCAGAGCCTAGTGGTGACATTTCATGCTACTCCGTCACTTCATGGACTCCTACCAGACACGGCAGGGAGAGTTGTCTCTGGCTACCAGGACGACTTTGTAAGTGGCAATGGCAGCAGTCTCACTCACTGCCAAGGTTTGGACTGCAGCCTGGTGAACTTGCAATGTAAAGTGAGTTCTTCTCAATCCACTTCTCCCTCTACCGTGAGTGTGGGCAGCACTGGCTTCATGAAGGAAAGATGTATTTGAGTTCGTGGTTGCAAAGGTTTTGGTTCATTCCTTGGCTTGTCTGATTCTGGACTAGTGGTGAGGAAAGTGTCATGGTGGTAGGGGGTGTGCAGAGGACAAGGCCAGTTACCTCCAGACAGATAGGAATCAGAGAGCGGGTGGAAGAGGGACCAGGGATGACACAGAAGCTTTAAAACCACTCTCTCCCACCCCAGTGACCTTTTCCCTCTAGCTCCTACCTCCCACAGTTTCTATCACACCTCCTCTTAGCACCACCAGCCCCCTGGGGGGATGAGCAGTAAGTGCAGGAGGCTGGTGTGATAGTTCATACTCATACAGGAACACGCTGCCCTAGCCCTCCATGACTCAATTGAGTTCAAATCCCCACAGCCTTCACAGTTCCCACTTTGTTCAAAAGCCTCCGTTGGGTTGCTCTTGAAAACTAGGAAATGAGTTACATGCTTCTGATATGCGGGACGTGGAATAGCATTCCTCTTTCGAAGGGATCAATGAAGGGCTGGCAAAGTCAGACTAAAGCAAAACTGCAACCCAGCAGGACGACACTGACTCCTGCAGCCCTGCCAGGCATCTAGGCAGGGCTGTGATGTGAATGCAAGGACTTGGGCATCGCCACCTCTGTAGCCATGCTGCTTGTAGCCCACACGGCTTTGTGGCTTGTTCTTGGCAGGAGTTTCACATATTTGGCATCTCCAGCTACCCAGGGTCCTCCTTACACCTTTGGTTTTTAAGCTCACAGCTTCACACCTTCTCAGGGGGCTGCCCAGACTAACCCTGATCACCACACACCTCCTGGCCTCCCAGGTTTTCCTTTGAAATCTGGGTGGAAGCCTCCATGACACGGAGACAAGGTCTCACTGTGTAGCTCTGGCTGGCCTCAAACTCACCGCCTTAGTGCTGGGATGAAAGGTGTGGCCACTGTGTATTCTGATTCCTGCAAAACCAAGGTTGCTGCCAGCTGGGGTGACTGTCTGGCCCCTGGGACCACAGCTCTGTGACCCCCCAAACTTGGGGGGGTCACACCAAGTTTTCAGGCGGCACCTGAAAAACTTGGCTGAGCAGCTCTGTGTGGACATAGAATCCTGAGTTCTCACAGAAGTCTTTTTCATGAGCCAGTGTTTCATTGGACTCAAACTGGGGGTCAGGTGCCGCCTTCAGAGGTAGCCCATCTCCCAGATTGTCCCGTCTACTAATGATCTACTGTTTCCCAAAATAGCACTGCCAGTGTGGGGATGGGGGCACGTGCGCAACAGGAGCCAGTGAGGGCATGGGTCACATTCCAGGAGTCTCTCTAGTCTTTCTCACCCTGTCCTTTAAAGAGACCCTATGACAAGAGGCCAGCCTGGTCTACAGAGCAAGTTCCAGGACAGCCAGGGCTACCCTGTCTCAGGGAGAAGGAGAGGGGGAGGAGGAGGAGGAGGAGGAAGAGGAGGAGGAGGAGCAGGAGGTAGAGGTGGAGGAGGAGGAGGGAGGAGGGAGGGAGGGAGAGAGAGAGACAGAGAGAGAGAGAGAGGGGGGGCTTATAAACTAATAAACTATTTGGGCTGGAATGTCAAGGGCTGTGTGCTAAAGGCGTGGACGTGGTCCCCAGCCTGTGGTGGCGCTGGGAGCCGGTACAATCTTTAGAAATGGGACGAGTAGGAGAACATTGGGTTATTGGGGATATGCCTCGAAGAGGGCAAGACACTGGCTCCTTCCCTTCTTACTTGCTTCCCATTCTCACGTGCCTTGTACAGGCCCCAAAGCAATGACAGATCGCAATGGCAGATCACAGGTGAAACCGTGAGCCCAAGCCAACCTTTCCTCAGGCATTTTGTCATGCACTAGACAGCTGAGCAGTGCAGCCGTGAGGTCTTCCTCCTGGTACCCAGGGCATGGTCATTCTCTTTGGAGTATTTGAATAACCAAGTGATACAGGCGAGGCTGTGGCAGACTGGGTATGAAGATCCAGGACATTACAGAAAATGCACATAGCCAACTTCTGATATGAACACTTTATTGCACACAGCAATGGACCCGTCACATAGGCTCCTGGGGCTGCTCTCTGTGTCACAGAGTCATTTGTAGGGGGAGGAGTCACGTGGCACCTTCAAACCCCATTGGCAGCATCTGTGTAGCTCCCAATCCATAGTGAGACAACTCTGGTGGCCCCAGGAAGCTTCCAGGGGTTCCCGAGAGTGGAGAATCGCTTAGGAACAAAGATGTAGACTGCCAAGGCTGAGAGATCCAGCCCATCAGCAGCTGGACTTCTGGCCTGAGGAGAGGCCACAGCAGGCCTGGCTGGAGCAGGCAGGGCGGCAGAGCAGGGACATGCTGGAGCAGGAGCTGCAGCGGCTGGGCTGGCAGGAGGAGCCACAGCAGGAGGAGGTGGGCACACAGCAGGCAGGTCTGCACACAGGCCGGAAAAGCAGGGACACGCTGGAGCAGGGCTTGCAGCAGACAGGCTTGCAGCAGACAGGCACACAGCAGGATGGCTGGCAGCATGAGGGCTGGCAGCTAGACTGCTGACAGCATGAGGACCCAGAGCAGATGGGTGTACAGCAGACAGGCTTGCAGCAAAGGGTCACAGAACAGGGTGAGGAGGTGCAGCATGAGGGCTGGCAGCTAGACTGCTGACAGCATGAGGACCCAGAGCAGATGGGTGTGCAGCAGACAGGCTTGCAGCAGACAGGCACACAGCAAGAGGATTGATAGCATGAGGGCTGGCAGCAGGACTGCTGGCAGCATGAGGAGGACCCAGAGCAGATGGGTGTGCAGCAGACAGGCTTGCAGCAAAGAGTCACACAGCAGGGTGAGGAGGTGCAGCATGAGGGCTGGCAGCTAGACTGCTGGCAACATGAGGGTTCACAGGAGCTGGTACAGACAGATTGGCAGCAGGGACTGGACATACAGCTCACTGGGGTGCAGATGAAGGTTAGGCAGGGGGCTGGGCCATAGCAGCTGGGGACACAGCAGCTGGGGACACAGCAGCTGGACTGGCAGCAGCTAGGTTGGCAGCAGCTGGACTGGCAGCAGCTGGGCTCACAGCAGCTCTCTGGGCAGTCATCCACCTGCCAGGAGGAGTCAGTGCAAGAATCACAGGAACCGGGCAGGCAAACCCGGCTGTCGTAGCTCAGGTCACTGGAGCAGATGGACATGGTGGAGGTGGCCATGGTGGGCAGGTCTGGTAGGAGCTGTGAGAGTGTGAGTGTGTGTGAGTGTGAGGGGCTGCTGTCGGCTTTTATACCACTCTGGGCTGGTGTTGTCCAGGTGAGAAACTTCTCAGGCTTTCCTTCCTGCTTACTGGCTGACTGGAAACCCCTCATTAGCGCTGGTCATCAGTGGTGTGTACGCCTCACCTGTGTTTGTTTTTGTTTGAACTTGGCTGAAGGCCTGGGAAACGTTTGAAGCCACTTCCCCTGAGAGGTTTTGGAGGTAAGCAGTGCTCCATGGCAGTGGATTCTGTAGTTGTCCTCTTGTGCTTGAGCGACTGGGACCTATTATTATTATTGTTATTATTATTGCTTTAAACATTTTAAAACATACGCAAAATAAAAGCACACATATCTTACATAATACAACTCACCTGGGGGCTTAATGACAGCCCCTCTCCCTGTCCCTCTCCAAATGTTATTAAGATGCAAGGCATATACAACACAGTTGATTCAGAGGCTTGTTGACAGGAAGCTGTGTGTACATTGTGAGGGAGACTATGCTCGGACAGGGTGGCGTCTCCCCCCTGCAGTGCATGGTCCTCCTCCTGAGACACTCGGCTTTTCCAGGCAGACTCTGAGCTTTTTCTGTTTTCATTTTGCCATGGTTCCAAGGCCAGTGACTCCACATCCCACAGTGGCCACATTTCAGAAGCTCCTGGCCTGCCTGCCAGATAGTCTGGCTGGGTATAGAATTCTGGGTTTGGAGACCAGCAGTGGTGGCGCACACCTTTAATCCCAGGTCTAAAGAGGCAGAGGCAGGTGGTTCTCTGTGAGTTCAAGGCCAGCCTGGTCTACAGAGTGAGATCCGGGACAGTCATGTCTACACAGAAAAACCCTGTCTCATAAGAAAAAAAAAAAAAAACAATCAGACAAACAAAAAATCTGGGTTTGAACCAGTGTCCCTCTAAGCCCAGGTGACAATGCCTGTTATTTTGGTACCCATGTCCCTGAACAGAGACAACTGGAGTTCTCGGACAGTTTACTCTGTCTTTCAACTTCTGTCTGTTTTCTTTCTTCCTTCTTATTCTAGAATCTGTTTCCAGGCTGTGTATTTCTTTGTTGCAGTGTGACATCTCATCTCAGGGTTATCCTAAAGCCCGTTTCTCCTTTCTTGGCTTTCCCTTTGGTGATTCTATACATTGTCCTTCTGGTGTGAGCCTTCAACGTGTCTCAATTCTCCCATTTCCTCAATTTTATTCTTAATATTGTTGTTTGCCAGATCATCCTGGTTTTCTTTTCAGACACATTCTGTCACTGGAGTCTGTTATTCATCCTTATGCCGAGTTGCCAATGTTTAACTTCTTACAGACATTTAATCTTCAATTTCACAGAGGTGTGGTTTCGTCTTGGGATTTGAATGGAATGTCCCTGTGACTCCAGCAAAGTTCCCTTGAGTTTACAAACTCTCTCTCCTCTGTGGTCCAGACTGCAAGACCTCACACAGGATGTGCTCATCAGTTTCCAGATTGGAACACTCGGCTGTTTGACTTTTGTACACTGGGTCCACCCATTGTGAGCTGACATTTTAGACTTTGTACGGCAGTGAGAGTCTCTTACTGTATACCATGTTCCCTCTCTCTGTCCCTCTGTCCTTCTGTCTCTCTGTCTGCTTCTTCCCACTGATTTTAGCACCAGGGATCCAGCAGTCTTACTAGATCAATTCTGGAGCCCCATGGCTTTGCCCCAGCTCCAGGATGTTGTAAATGTTGTGGGAAAGGTCTTTCCATGGAAGACACCTTTAAAACCACCAGAGCCTATGCCTGAAGAATCAGACCAAAATCTTCATTGTGTCAGTCCCATGTTGTCCTATTGTACCTAAAACTAAAACCTTCTGAATCCACGTGTTCATTCCTGTTCCCATCTGATGTGTTTATTTAATTATATTTGCCTTTAAAATTCCCTTGGTCCATTTAAAAGACCAACTATGTCTCTCAATGTTATTTACTTATTTATTCCTTTGGGGTTCAGGGTCAGGACAGACATTTGGATAATTTCCTGTTGTCTGTTGTCAGGACCTGAGAGGATACTGCTCTATGTGGACAGATGTTCTCCTTTCTCCCAGGGTGATGTCTGGGGCTGGGCTGGCAGAGTTCCAGGCTCACCCTGTGATTAATAGCTTTGGAAGCTGTCTTGCCATGTGGCCAGACCAGGAAAGAGACAGGGGACACACTTCCTGACTGGCCTACCAAGGGTCACTAGGCGGGTGAAGCCCTGTGTTTTGAGTGTCAGCGTGCAGAGGTGAGAGTGGCAGTCAGAGGTCACAGTGAGTCCTCCCCTGCCAGGCTTCTGCACCAACCCCATGGCCATTGGAGCATCAGAGAGGGACAGACATGTGTTAGGGGCTGACCCCTAGTGAAGCTGAGCCTTACCTGTTGGCCACTGAACACCCACAGAAGGATGTGTCTATCATGGTCTTTTGGGATCTCTTATCTATGGCCATGTAGATTTGCCCCCCAGGAAAGTGGATGAGGCTGTGTCATTTGGTCTCTGGTGCTGGGATGCCCCTGGTGGTTATCTCAGGTGGTCTTCTGAGTGAGGGAAGGGAGGTGGCTCCCTGAACACAGGAGCCCCGTGATTGAGGACCTGGTGGCACAGCTGGTGCCACCCAGTGAGTTATTCATTCTTCTTGTTCCTATAACAAAACACCTGACAGGAAAGCATCTTAAGGGGAGAAAAGGTTTATCTGACTCAGAGTTCCTGGGGACACAGTCTGTCATAGTGGGGGTGGTATAGTGGCAGGAGTCAGGTGTGCATCTGAAGCCAGGAAGCAAGCAGATACACACACACACACACACACACACACACACACACACACACAAACAGATATACTCACATATACTCAAATACATGGATACACGCACACACACAAGCATAAGCAGATACATGTATAAAGAGAGAGACAGAGACAAAGAGACACACACACAGAGAGAGAGAGAGAGAGAGAGAGAGAGAGAGAGAGAGAGAGAGAGAGAGAGAGAGAGATTGTGCAGGGGTGAGTTCAGCTTTCTTCTTCTTTTTTAATCAGTCCCGGACCACAGTCCATGGAATGGTGCCACCAACATTCAGGGTAGGTATTCCCATCTCAGTCAACCTAATTCAGAAATTTCCCTCACAGACATGCTGTCTTAGTCACTGTTCTGTACTGTCAAGAGACACCACAACCAAGGCAACTTATAGATGAAAGCATTTTATTGGGGGCTTGCTTACATTTTCAGAGAGTGAGTCCATAACCATCATGATGGGGCAGGGGACAAGGCGGCAGGCATGCAGGCATGGTGCTGGAACAATAGCTAAGAGCTCACATCTCAGTCCACCAAGATTGGACCTGACTTGGACTTTCAAAACCTCGAAGTCCTTGCCCAGAGAAACACCTCTTCCAACATGACCACACTCCCTAATCCTTCCCGAAACATTTCCATGACCTAGGGACCGAGCATTCAAATACATGAGCCTGTGGAGGCCAATGGCTAGTCCTCTGTGGTCAAGGCTAAAGGGTAGAAATAACCAGCACAGTAGAGAAGCAGGCTGTGGGGGACAGTACCCAGATGAGAATTTGAGGTCAGCAGCTGGACTTCTGGCCTGAGAAGGGGACACCACATACACTGACAGATTGTTTCCAAGGTGATGCTAGATCTTGCCAAGTTGGCGGTATTAATCATCACAGTGTACCCAGCATCTACTCATGTGGTCCCTGTGCTTGGGCAGGGTGGGATGTTGGGTCTGGCAGGAAGAAAGGACATCAGTCCCATGCTGTGTGGGGCAGCTGCTTGGAAGGGCTGCAGGAAATGTGTTGGAATCCAGGAGGGCTGGATTGATTGGCAGGAGGCACCCAAAAGACTGCAGGAGGATGGCATTATTGTGGCCTCAGAGTCCTGGCTGGAGCTGGCCCTGGTATAGATGTGGACCCTGGGGAGGGTAGAGCTGCAGGGAAGGCTGGAGGCAGAAGGAGCAGTGCCATAAAGGGCTGGCTGAGGACGAGGCTTCCTAGTAGGAGGGTCATGCTCAAGTGGACACTAGTGCTCAAGAGAATCTGTGGGGCTGGGAAGGACAGATATGGCTCAGGGGTCCATGGCTGCCTGGTAGTCACATTTCTCCTAACCAAGATACCAAGGAGCTACTCTGAGAAGAGCCAGGCTGTATCCTTGAGCTAGGTCCCACCCACCCCATGCCACACATAAGACACAGGTCAGCAGGAGACAAGTTTAAAAATTTATTATTTATTTATTTAGTGGTGTGTGTGTGTGTGTGTGTGTGTGTGTGTGTGTGTACAAATGAGTGCAGGTATCCACAGAAGCCAGAAGAGGGCAACAAATGCCCCGGAAAGGGAATTACAATTTACACTGGGAACAGGATTCAGGTCCTTTGCAAAAGTATAAGTGCCCCAGATCCAAAAGGCAGGCTTACTAGAATATATGCATTGTAGCCCAAGTGAAGCTAGGACTGCTGGAATTGGGACAAATTTATGACTTGGAGCCTAAGGAGGCAGTGAGGCTCCATTAAGCAGCCGCAGGGAAGGACTTAGGAGCCAACCATGCTCTGGATGGCCATGGCTAGTCCTCTGTGGTCAAGGCTAGAGGGTGGGAATGACTAGAGCAGAAGCAGCCTGTGCGGGACAGTACCCTAGATGAGGACTCAGGGTCAGCAGCTGCACTTCTGGCCTGAGGAGAGGCCACAGCAGGCCTGGCTGGAGCAGGCAGGGCGGCAGAGCAGAGACATTCAAGACCAGGGTTTGCAGCAGCTGGCCTGGAAGGAGGAGCCACAGCAGGAGGAGGTGGGCACACAGCAGGCAGGGCTGCACACAGGCCGGCAAAGCAGGGACACGCTGGAGCAGGGCTTGCAGCAGACAGGCTTGCAGCAGACAGGCACACAGCAGGATGGCTGGCAGCATGAGGGCTGGCAGCTAGACTGCTGACAGCATGAGGAGGACCCAGAGCAGATGGGTGTACAGCAGACAGGCTTGCAGCAGACAGGTTCGCAAACCAAAGGCTCACAGCATATGGGTTCACAGCAGGACTGCTGGCAGGGAGAGGAGGTGCAGCAAGAGGGCTCACAGCTAGACTGCTGGCAGCATGGAGAAGCAGCATCTCCACAGCAGACTGGCACACAGCAGACAGGTTTGCAGCAAACTGGCACACAACAGGACTGCTGGCAGGGGGAGCAAGTACAGCAAGATGGCTGGCAGCTAGACTGCTGGCAGCATGAGGGTGTGCAGCAGGCAGATTGGCAGCAGGGACTGGACACACAGCTTACTGGGGTGCAGATGAGTGTCAAGCAGGGGGCTGGGGCACAGCAGCTGGGGACACAGCAGCTGGACTGGCAGCAGCTGGGGGCACAGCAGCTGGGCTGGCAGCAGCTGGGGACACAGCAGCTGGGCTGGCAGCAGCTGGGGACACAACAGCTGGGCTGGCAGCAGCTGGGGGCACAGCAGCTGGGCTGGCAGCAGCTGGGGACACAGCAGCTGGGCTGGCAGCAGCTGGGGGCACAGCAGCTGGGCTCACAGCAGCTCTCTGGGCAGTCGTCCACCTGCCAGGAGGAGTTGGTGCAAGCGTCAGAGCAGACAGACATGGTGGAGGTGGCCATGGCGGGGCTGGCTGGGATCTGGGAATGTATGAGTGTGTTGAGTGACTGAGTGTTGAGTATGTGTGTGTGTGTGTGTGTGTGTGTGTGTGTGAGGTGCTCTGGGCTCTGGGCTCTGGGCTTTTATCCCCCAGGTGTATTTTGCTGCAGGAAGCTCTGCACCCTTCCCTTTCCTTGTTGTTCAATCTAGAGGGTGTCCAGGGCTCAGTCATAAACTCTTGTTGAGCTGGTTGCCCTAAAAATAGGCATGTCTGGAGGGAAAGCATGGCCTTCCTGGGCTGACCCTGTGCCCTCTACCTTGTGGCCTCCTGTTAGAGTACCTGGTGATGGCATTGAACACCAAGACTATTGTATCCTCCAGTCCCATCCTCAGAGGGTGGTCCAGCCTCTCTGGGAGAGAGGTGATGGACCCATCACCGAGTTGTCTCCCTCTGCATCCGAGACCAGCACTGTGGCCAGAGCATCCCTCCATAGCCTCTGGTTCCAGTGTCCCTTAGCCCCCTGGGATCTGCTGTTCTGTTTGGGTTCTCGGTTGAGTCATCTTTTCATTTTCGACACCCAGTTGTGCTGCACTAGCCGTTCCTGTGATGCTGGGGTCAGTTTGATTGTGTTTTGTGGGTGGGGAGCAGTGGCAGGAGAGGTCATAATTCCTTTCTAAGTTTACTGTCCCTCATCGGTGAAGCTATCGGCCCTGGGCTCTTCGTTCAGATGTTTTTTAATTAGTGGCCATCTCAGGTCACATACACCGGCCCAGGTCAGTTGACACATTTTAGACACCAAGACACAGATGAATGACAATGAGAGTAATGAGGGAAGAGACACCTGCAAACAGTAACCACAGAGATTGGAGCAGCAAGCAGACAGGGTGTGCCGCACAGTCAGAATCGGTTAGGAGATGGTGAGGCATTGAACATCCATACAGAGATCAATCTTTCAAGAACACATGGTTGTCATCCTATAGACCTCAAGATATATAAAGCTGAACAGGAAAGAACTCAACAGCTCCGGTACACAGACAATAGCTGTCAATGCGAGAAAGCCGTTGTTAGTATAGTATTTTTTTAAAAAGTTTTTCAACTATGTTTATTGCCACCCTATTCACAATAACAAGGAAACAAATGAGCCTTGATGTCCTGAGGACTTGCAGCTCCCCCTAGATATGGAACCCATAACTGAAACTCACATGCCACCAAAGTCCAATTTGGTGAAATGACAAGTTTCACTGGAGCTACATACAGGGATATGGATGAGGGGTTACTTAAAGGAGTTGAAATTAATCAAAGACAGCTGCATCACCAAAGACCACCCAAGCACAGGTGATAGCTCACAAAACAGGGTAATCTAGAGCACACTGCACAGACTGCAGGCAGATCAACAGGGTGAGAGAGTTCTTTCCAAGACCCTCAGTTGGTCTAAACCTTTTCCAAGAATCATGGCTGCTTTCTTTTTTTCCCAGGTAGCTGACCTCATTTCAGAGTCATCCATTTATTCCTTCCTAAATCTTTTGCCTCTGGAGGGAGCTTTAGTATAGCATTTTTAAAAGAAGAAGTAAAAGGGCAAGCAGGCGAAAGACAGGCCATGGCACAGAGAGCTCGGAGAGCTAGGTGCACAGCTACACAGAACACGCCAAGCAGCAGCGTCTTCTCGCCATCCTGCAGGTCAGTTCCCAGCTCAGGCCAAATGAATCTCAAGGGATTTGAAATAGTTGAGATCAAATGAGGCCTCGTCTCTGACCCTGACGGAAAGAAATAGAAATTAAAACAGAATGAGATCTGGAGAGTTCGCCAGTCTGTAGAAATAGAATCCATACTTAAATAGCAAAGGGGTCGGGAGATGCTGGAAGGTACGAGAGGAGGATGAAAATGAAAACATAACAAAACCAAGCTGGGATGCAGCCAAAACAGCGCAAGAGGGAAACTCATAGTCATGAAGGAAGAGCCCAGACCAGTCATCTAAACTCACACCCCAAGGAACCAGGAAAAGGAAGTGCAGACGGAACTCAGAGCCAGCAGCACACAAGAAATACAGATTAGAGCCATGACACTGAGATAGCAGTGGGAACCGTGGCAACGAAGAACAACACTGGCTGATGTTTAACCCGACTAAAGGCAAAGGAGTTTTAAAAAAAAAAACTAAAATCACACATGGAAATGAGGGGTCATGGCTGTGAGGCTTTGTAAACAAGATGGACTGGAAGAGAACCCTGAACCATGGCTGGTGACAAATGAGGGAACTCAGGTGTTAGAGGAACACTCCGTGGAGTCTGGAGACCAGATGTTGTAGACAGTTGTTACATACAGACCTCATTTCTCCATGTGGCCTTGAATGCTATTTTGAATCCTTTCTGTCATGAATAAAGATCAAATGTTGTAGAGCAGGTCTTTGAACCAAGGACTCTCTTACCTGTGCAGGTATATCTTAATGTCTCCTTCCTTTTCTTTCTCTTTCATGTAACTGAGGGCTGAGCCTAGGCTCCTACATGTGCCTGGAAAGCATTCCATGTTGGAGTCCTTATAGGGTCTCAGTCCTTTTATACATTTCCTCTTGTATAAGGAGCTTGTCATCCTCCTGCCTCAGCTTCCTAAGGAGCTGGGGACTGCCGCTAATGGCCACCAAGGGCAGCTCTCCTCTGTGTGCAGTTGGCTGTATGTCAACTTCTGAGCAGTTTCCTTCCTATCCGTTAAGCCCACCACCCCATTGCCTCCCGGCCTCAGGTTCAGGTGACAACTGGGCATCTAACTACCTCAATTGTCTTGTGGTAACTGCATCAGTGTGTCTCCTTGGTGACCTTTGAATTTCTTCTTCATTGTACGTCTTAGGCATGAAGTACAGGGTGTCCTGTTACATTTGGGAAGGTTCTCAGTTATTCCTGGAAATATTTCAACTATTTTCTATTGGAATAGCGTATACCCCAGCTTTACCACCTTAATTATAAGGGCACATTTCGATGGAACTGCACACACTCACAGTGTGCAGCCCTCATGACCATCTAGCCTCACAGTTCCTTCATTGTGTAAAAAAACCCTGTCCCTCTTCAATGCTAACTTGCTCCTCTGAAGCCTGGGAACCTCAGTCCTGTCATTAATTTTTCTAACTTTTCTTCATGTATTTTCCCTGCTTGTTCATCGCTCTCTTCCCTGTCCTGCTGAGGCTCCTGTTAAGCTGGGCCATTGTGCCCCATATATCTTGCTGGCCAGTGAGGCTGGGCACATCTTGCTGCCTTCATACTGGTTAATGCTTTTCAGAATATTAAGCTCACCTGTCTTTCCAGCTTCTAACCTTTCCTTTTGCCTGCTCAGCCTTGTGATCGAACCTGATCGTATGCGAGGGTCTCTGCAGCCTTTGCAGGCAGCAGAGTGACAAGCCGTGGGAGGCAAGAAGGCAGTTTGGCACAACCTGACTGGTAGCCTGTGTTGGTTCAAACTTTGGAAGCCTGACCCTGAACTGTTTATTTTAGGCTTATTTAAACACAGCATAACTGGGTGAAAACTTGTGATGATTAATTCAATCCTACGTTAACAGAAAATTATGCTAAATCACTTTGAGGAACAAAGTAAACTAAATGTAGCCCAGGCATAACTACCTCAAGACTCTTTGTAAAGTACAATGACACCTTCCATAAAAATGGGTTCTGTAGATTGTCTGAGGAAGTAAATTTGCAAAAAGGGTCTAGAGAAGGGTCTGATGCCCAAAAGCCTCTGGCCACACAGATTGCACAAAGGTCATCAGCCTCCTGGGTGGAAAGCAGGTTTTGCATTCATTCCCTTGAAGGAACAATCCTGTGTGTTTAGCATTCCATGTTCCCCTAGTGCATATCTGTGAGCATAAGGGTCTCCTTGCCCCCTACACCAGTCAGTTCTTATAATTAGTTGCTTTTGATTCTTGTTCCCTCCTCTCTCGGCATCCGTCTCACCTGCTATTGTAGATAAGGCTTGTCCTTTGGGCTGTCTGGTCTCACAGGCTCTTTGCCTTGTGACCCGGGCTTGACTTCGCTTCTACCCTGATTTGCGTGCTTTCTTTCTACCACATTGGGGTGTGGTTCATTCCTGCTTTTGTGATACCTCAGGGTGCATCATTAGGTTGTTTGCCTTTGGTCCTTGTATCTTCTGATGCGGGCGTTCCTGATAGAAACTCTACTCAGTGCTCTTTTTGCTGTGTCCCAGGGGTTTCTGTCTGTTACGTTATGCCTCTACAATCTCTGATTTCCTCAGTGACAGAAAGTTTACTTAAAAATGTGTCTGTGAGAGTGAAAATGTATACGCCATGGTGTACATGCAGAGGCTAGAGGACAATTATTAAGAGTCGGTTCTCTCCTGCCACTTTGTGGGATCTGGGGCCCAAATTCAGTCTTCCGGAGCCTCACACAAGCACCTTTACCCACTGAGCCATGCCACCAGCTGAAGCATATTGTTTTGACACGTCTATGTTCATTGACACTCTATTTGCAGTGGAAGGAAATGGACCCATTCCTTCCAGGCGTCCATCTACTAAAGACAATGAAATGCAGTGCATATACGTAATGGAATCTTACTCAGTCATAATGAAAAATGAAATGATGAAAATCTGAAGGAAAATGGATGGAACTGGAAAATACATTAAGTGAGGCCACACAGGTTCAGAAAGACAGACACTGCACGTTCTGTTTCACATATGAATTCTAGCCTCCTGTTTTTATGTGTGCACTTCCGTGGGACTGAGTGTGTATGGAGCCTGGGAAATTAGGAAGGGGACCTGGGGGTGGATGGTAAGGCTTTCAGAGGAAGCCTGCCTGGACTGGTCATGTGACATAAAGTAGGGTGTATAATACTGGTGGTGGCACGGTTTAAGTGGGCAGGGGGGCGGGGCAGAGGGTGGGAAGGGGCTCAACCAAAACTATGTATGAAGATGCTGTATGGAAGTTTGCTACTATGTAGCAAAATACTATGTAGCAAAGTAAAAATAAGATATGCAGCTGAGTCTCCAGGCATTTTGGAATGTTGAAGTTTGGCTTGCTGCAGATTCCAGATGCAGTCCACCACCAGGAACTGAAAATACACAGGGTGTGATTTTAGTGGTTTGTAAGGTTTTTTTTTTGTTTGTTTTTTTGTTTTTTTTTTGTTTTTTTTTTTTCGGACTTGTTTTGTAGCCTCGATCTGGTCTATTCTAGAGAAATTTCAATATGCGGAAGAAAAGAAATCTGTATGCCCCAGCTATTGGAATGCCCGTTAGATGTCTGCCAGCACACACATCCTTTAGTCTGCTGTGCCATTAGCTCAGGCATTTGTTGACTTTTGCTTGCTCTGCCCTCGACCAGGGGTGGCTGTTGCATGACACATTATCATTGTATCAGTTTCTATCTCACTTTCTGTGGAGCAATGCATGCTTGTGAAGACGGACAGCCATCATTGGGTGCACATAGGTTAATAATCATGTCTTCTTGATGAATTGACCCCTCGGTCATTATGTAGTTACAAGTTTGTCTCTTTTGTCAGCTATAAGCATAGGCACTCCTGCTGGTTTTCAAGTTCCATTTGCCTGAAAAGATACTTTCATCCCTTTCTTTCTGGCTCTCTGCCTACACACCTTTCTGGTGCTGTGAATTTCTTGTAGGTAGTGTGCTGTTGGATCTTGTTTTTCAATCCATCCAGCTGATCTGTCATTTAATTAACAATTTAACACTGTTCATATTCAGGGTTATTGATGAAGGCGTGGACTTGAGCCTGCCACTTGGTTGCTTTTCTTCTAGTTGTTTTGTGTTGTTTCTTTTCTTCCTCTCTTAATCATCTTTGTCATTTTTGATGACATTTTGATGGTTTGCTGAATTGATAGTTTTTATTCTTTTCTGTTTCTCTCTGGTATTCTGAGAGAGCTTATACTTTCATGTGCAGCCCTGGAGGTGGCTGACTTCTTCCAATTTCTGGGTGTAAAACTTAGTCTCTTTGTGAGGTTGGTATCTTAGTGATGGAATCCCTGCATTTTTGTTTGTCTGGGAAGGTCTTTGTTTTTTTATTTGATTCTGAAGCCGTGCTGGGCTTGCAATCTTGGTTGACAGTTATTTCCTTTCAAGATTTCCACACACCATTCATTCCACACTCTCTGGCCTGCCAATTTTTGCTTAGGAGTCTGCAGCCAATCTTGGGGGGGGGTTGTCAAATGGGCCATTTGCTACCCATGAATGGGACCCTATAACACTCAGGAAGGGGCCCTGTGACACCTAGAAATGGGATCCTCGGCCCCTGAGCTGTGGGCTTTGGCTAAAGCTGATGTTCCATTCAGCTGAGCCACCTGCATTTGATACCATGTTCCTAGGCTGTGCACTTGCAGGGGTCTGTGGTAGACCTGTGGGCATGACCTCGAGGCCCTATCTCTGCCCTCTGCCTTCTTGGTGATAGGGACTGTGCTGGCACCTAAATGAGGTGGTGGGATCCACAGAGCAGCTGCCCTCAATCCTGGGATTCTTAAAAAGCCACAGTGCTGAGTTTCTCCTAGGGTTTTAGAATAAGGAACACCCTCCAAAGCCCTCCACAGCATGCCTCTCCTTGTTTGTGAAGCCCTTTCAGCGGGTTTATCGGAGTCACTCCATGGGCCCCAGAGATGGGAAATTGCAGGTCTCAAACCAGAGCAGGAGGAACCCTGACCCCAGTACCAGGGTATGGAACAGGGGGCTGGAGCTGTGGGCCTATGTAATGACTCCAAGACACACAGCTGGAGATACAGGGAGAGTGGACAGGTGCAGGCCCCAGAGAGAGGCCCCAGGATGATAGTCACAATAGAGGTGGAGTGGGTCAGAGGAGGCTTTATTGAGTACAGAGGTCTAGAGGGGTGCAGCTGACCACAGGGGCAGCGTCATCCACATAGGCAGGGAAGGACAGGAGCAGTCAGCACACCTGAGGCCTGGTGGAGGAGGAACACTGGTCCTTCTAAGTGCTTGAGCTACTCTCTGGTTTCTATTCTGATGGTACAGATCTTTCTTCTGAGCTGTTCTTCCTGCAGCTCAGAAGGCTGTAATAGTGGTGGGGAGGTAGTCCCTGCTGCTCCCCGTGGGTTCTGGCCAATCAGCAGCTGGACTTCTGGCCTGAGGAGAGGCCACAGCAGGCCTGGCTGGAGCAGGCAGGGCGGCAGAGCAGGGACATGCTGGAGCAGGGCTTGCAGCAGCTGGGCTGGCAGGAGGAGGCACTGCAGGAGGAGGTGGGCACACAGCAGGCAGGTCTGCACACAGGCCGGCAGAGCAGGGACACGCTGGAGCAGGGCTTGCAGCAGACAGGCTTGCAGCAGACAGGCACGCAGCAGGATGGCTGGCAGCATGAGGGCTGGCAGCTAGACTGCTGGCAGCATGAGGAGGACCCAGAGCAGATGGGTGTGCAGCAGACAGGCTTGCAGCAAAGGGTCACACAGCAGGGTGAGGAGGTGCAGCATGAGGGCTGGCAGCTAGACTGCTGGCAGCATGAGGAGGACCCAGAGCAGATGGGTGTGCAGCAGACAGGCTTGCAGCAAAGGGTCACACAGCAGGGTGAGGAGGTGCAGCATGAGGGCTGGCAGCTAGACTGCTGGCAGCATGAGGAGGACCCAGAGCAGATGGGTGTGCAGCAGACAGGCTTGCAGCAAAGGGTCACACAGCAGGGTGAGGAGGTGCAGCATGAGGGCTGGCAGCTAGACTGCTGGCAGCATGAGGGTGTGCAGCAGACAGACTGGCAACAGGGGCTGGACACACAGCTCATTGGGGTACAGATGAGGGTCAGGCAGGGGGCTGGGACACAGCAGCTGGGGACACAGCAGCTGGACTGGCAGCAGCTGGGGGCACAGCAGCTGGGCTCACAGCAGCTCTCTGGGCAGTCGCCCACCTGCCAGGAGGAGTTGGTGCAAGCGTCAGAGCAGACAGACATGGTGGAGGCGGCCATGGTGAGGGCTGAGCTGGGAGTTGAGAGTGTAGGAGTGAATGTGTGAGGTGCTGGGCTGTTCGCCTTTTATCCTCCTCCAGAGGGAGACGCACCTTTCTTCCTGTTGTGTGCATTGTGGGAAGTTCCTCTTCCTGACCAGCCACAGCTTTGGACCTGGGTGGTCTGAGGAGCAAGACTTGATGGTAGCTTTTGCCCCAGTGGAGAGACTGTGAGGACCTGAGGCCTGGTCTCTGAGACGAAGAAAAACAGGCAGAGAAGGTGGTAGCTCCAAGATCCACCTCTGCCCGTGGATGTCAGCCATTGGTGGAGGCCTGGTGGCCATCCCCTCCTGGGCCAGCTGGAGGCATCATCCTGTCCCAGAGGCTATGAGGGGGGTGAAAAAGGAAGAGCCAGAAAAGAATCATTGTAAGATCTCATCAGAAGTCAGAGGGGCTGAGGCCAGTCCGGGATACCTAGTGAGACCCTGCCTCAAAACCTTAACAAAAACAAAGCAAAGCAAAACAACCCCCCAAAACAATAGAAACAAAATTAAAAAAAACCATCATCACCACCACCACCACCAAAAACTCATCAGAGACCACTGCCTCTGAGCAGCAGCCTCCTTTGGTGTTTATTTCTGATGTCAGGTGACCCAGGCCAGAGAGCTCAGTGTCTGTGCAGAGCATGCATCTAAGCCCTTTGTCACAGGGCCACATCGGTTGACACACTGCCTGCCTCTCTCTGCCGATACTGGACAGTTTTCTGTGATGGCTGGGTAATCTGGACCACTGGGCCTGGGATATGACCCCCCCTCTCTCTTCTCTCGTGTGTGTGTGTGTGTGTGTGTGTGTGTGTGTGTGTGTGTGTGTGTGTGTGTGTGTGTGTGTGATTCTTTGACCTAAGGAATGGGTCATACTAAACCTCAAATTAAGCTGATCTAGTGTTTTCTTCTTTCTGTCACATGCCTTGTCTCTAGATTGTAGCAACTCCTGTCTTTTAGGGGGTAAGACCATCTGTACCCGAAATAAGGGCTCAAGATGCTTGTAGAAGTACCTAGAAAACTTCTTTAGAGGTCTCATATGTCCAATCTATACTAGCTTCTGGAACATTCCATTTCTTTTATTTCAGTTTCATTTTTATCTTCTTCTTCTTCTTTCTCCCTTTCCTCCCTTGGGTTCTTCTGCTACTCCTGCCTTCACAAAATTAGATGTTTACCTCATATTATCTTAATCCCAAGATATCTTTTACTTTCAAATACTATCTTCTATTCTTTAATTTGTGACTTATATATGCTACAACTAAAATAGCATTGTCTCAGCTCTTAAATCAGTTCCCCTTGCTGAATCCAACCACAAATTGCTGATTGCATAGGAAGACAATACACATATCTATTCTGCAGTTTCTCCCATTTTCCCATTCTTATATCAATGTCTGGTAGATCTGGACAGAAAAGATATTTGGACTTGTGTTAGTAAGTGACTCATATGCACTTGACTGTACGTCATCTTCCACCAGCCCATCCATGAACCGCATGTTCCAGGTGAGGCTCTGTCCATGGTGGCCTTGCCTGAGACGGTCACCCTGTGTCATGAAGGGTGTCCATGATAAAGACTTTTGCAGCCTGGATTTGGAGAACTCTGCTGGTTTAAGTGAGGCTGGGGACATGACGATGCCCACACTAGGTCAAATTCTGCTTTTGGATGGGAGACTCAGAAGATGCTATGGGACTTGGGAAGTCAGCAGATAGCTCTCTCTGTTCAGAGACACTGGCATTTTATGACATTGTAATTTTTGGGTGATAGGAGTGCTGAGCTGCCTGGAGGGATGGAATCCAAGATCACAGCTGTTGCAATTTTAAAAAGTGGTGCTCAAGAGAGAGAGAGATGCCATGTGACAGAGCTTGGGTGAATGGGAGAAGGCTAGAGGGGAGATGGGTTTCTGGGGACAGGACAGAGAGACAGAGACAGACAGACAGAGACAGACAGACACAGACACAGACACAAAGAAGGATGGGAGGTAGGCAGCGGCCCTTTAAAAGGGAACAGTGAATGTGCACAGGTGGTGCTCTTAGTGGCTGCAGCTAAGAATGTATCCTGTCAGCACCCCAAGGACGGGCCAGTACAGATGCCTGAATACTGACAACAGTAATGAGTTCTAAGTGGTTCCACATGCTAAAATGAGAGAGGGCTGGACAGATGGGTCATTGCCAGAAGTCTGTTGAGGGCAGGTGACTGCCATTTTGCCAGCTGTCCTCAGCTTTTCTGAGGTGGGGAACTATGCCAGTGAAGCAGTGTGGAGCTATAAAACTTTTTGTGGAATTTATGAATTCCAACTAAGCTGGGGTTAGGGGTTTCCAATGAGTCATTTATTTCACAATAACACTTAGGAAAGGTCCCCAACAATTTCTCTGGAAAATACTCTAAGGGGTGACATTATCCATGTCTTCACAAATTACTAATGTGTGTGTCCTCAGACGAGACACGTGGTTTCGCACTCCTGCCTCCATTTCAGGAGTGTAGGTGCTCAGCCCTGGCTTCTGTCTGTGGGGCACATGCTATGTGGCTCCCGTGGGTGACTCAGGCTGTGAGTGTGGGTCCCAGCCGAGCTGTGTCTTGGTGTTCCATCCTCTTGTCTCTTTCTATAGAGTAGATTTCCAGGAGTCACTGGATTGTGGGGAAAAGGGAGTCTGAGGTGACAAAAGGCCCATGTGTCCCAAAGCCATGACCCTAAGACTGTGTCATCTAAGTCCTGCTCCTGAGGCCATGCTACCAATTCCTACATCTTCATAGTGAGTTCACACTCAAGTGTGAACTCACTTTATCAGATGTTTCATTCTGGATTATTCAATGGACTTGGCAATTCTGGCTTATTCAATGGACTTGGCAATTTTGTGCCTTTATCAGCTTGTCCCCAATGCCCAGTAAATGATGTTGAGGTCCTTTGCACATCTCCAGATGGCCATGTGGCCACAGGATAAGAGCTGTCCAGACATGTTCTGTCAGGTTTGACAGCTTTCCATGTCTCTGGGATCTCAGCCAAGGCTCTCTCTACCAGCTGGTTCAGAGCCCTGCAGCCCTGACAAGCCAGGCTTGCCACCGTGGGCTTTTATGTGCCAATTATACAGGTATTGGTAAATATCAGAGAAAGGGGATATTTTTTAAGCGCAGCCACACAGGGAAGAGGAAGAGAGGTCCAGCAAAAATGCCACACCTAAGTTCATCTTCAGTGCTGACACCAGGGTAAAGTTTAAACAGAGGGTATGAAGTGTGTACAGCTATCAGTCCCGGTCAAGGTGTGGTCCCGCCCATCATCATAGTCTGGGCACTAGTGGCTCCTGCAGGGTATTCCAGGAGACAAACTCCCCCTTTGGCTGGGACCAGGTTCCTCTTTTTCCTTCTTCCAGCATGAAACTCCCAGGGAAACTCCAATTCCTTGGAGTCTGTTGTCTCAACAGTTACGGGGCACAAGTGTCTCACCTTAGGCTACCTTCACAGCTGCCAAGTAGCTACACACTCACAAACATCACCCAGTCACTGAGAGCCACATCCCAGTGTTTCTGGGTCACAACCATGTAGCTGCTCCAAGTTTGTGAGTTCAATTGAGCATGAGTGCTGGGATAAGAGCCCACAGCCTTCTCAGGGCCTACCAGATACCATCCACAGACAGAGGGCTGAGGGCATCCCCAGACCCTACAGTACGGCCCTGAGAGGAGGAGCTAGGGCCAGGGCTGGGGTGTGACCATTGGGGAAGTGAGTCTGGAACTGTGACTGACAGATGCTTGCATCCCCTGATTCAGGAGGGTCACCCATGCCCCCAGCCTGCTCAGAGCTGGGCCTTCTCAGCTCTATCCAGCTCTGGTGTCCTAGGGATGTCCTAGCACGCTGGCTGGCACAAAAGCACAGTGCAGCGTCAGGGGAGGCATCCCTGTGCAGAAGAGTGCTGGCAGACCGGGTGGGCAGCCAGGCTGTGCAGGGACATTGGGTAAGGCACCAGGTGTATTAAATCTCTCTGAACACGCCATCACACGCATATTCAGAGCTGTGTCTCACCACTTCCTGTCCACCTCTCAGCACAGTTAAGGTGACAGCCAGGGTCAGTTATGACAGGTGTGTAGATCCTGTCACGGTGTCCTCACACTTATGGAGCTGCTAGGGAAGGTGGCCACACCCCAGGATGGGGAATAGACAGGAGTCAGTGTACCCTCCCTCCCTGAGTCTGTGCATCCTGCTCTACCCTTGCCAGGGTGCAGACCTGCTGCAAGGACCAGGGAAGCAGGCTTGCCACAGCAGGAGCCTTGGTCACAAGGGTGTTTCAGACAGCAGCAGCAATCAGAGAGAGGGCCTATGGGTGGTGAAGGCTGCAGCAGCTCTGCCCTTTTTCTGGCACCCACAGGAATCCTGGTGCAGACCACTTTGCCCAGTTGAACACCATAGGATGGCTCCAGACCAGATCACATCTGTAGGTGACCCGACCTGGGGGAGTCCTGGGCACACAGATTTTTGGTTGAAACTGTCTAGAAACAGGCCCTGGGCTTTGGAAGAGAAGCCACAGGCCTCCATGACCACTAGGCAGGACGACTCAGATCAAGATATGCCTGTGGTTAAGAGAGACTGTACCCCATGGAGCTCACATGCCCTCATAGCACGAGGGAAGTGACCAGAAGACTGAGGTACCATCTAGGTGTGTCTGAGAGGACATTTTGAGAACAGGTTCCCTGAGGGAAATACACCCTAACTGTGGGCAACGCCATCCCGCCGCCTGAAGCCAGGAGAACAGATGAGAAAAGGAGGGAATGAAATACAAACATCTCTTTCTGCTCCCTGGACACTGAAGAGAGCTGTTTCATTCTCGCTTCCCCCAAGTGATAGGCTAAAGGCCTTCCTCCTTGTGTTAAATGTTTCATTTCAGACACGAAAATAACGATACAGAAGGGTGTTGGTGGACATGGATTTACTGGTGTTGTGAGCTTCTGATATCAGAGCATATGATCCAGAAAAGCACAGGGACAGAGAAGAATGACA